TGAGGGGGGTTCCTCTGGTCACTGGTCTCTGTGCAATGCCCTGAGTCATGTCTGTGTTTAGGGAAGGGACTTCTGAAGTCTCTAATCCAAGCCCAAACTCTTCTAGAGCTGTACCTGCTCAGGTGGTTTTGGCTCTCATGGGAGGAAGCAATAGAAAGGGCAGTGGTTTGTTTGTAGGATCACAGCTCACTGCTCTGGTCACTGTGAACACAGTGGTGGTTCCTGCCCCAGACACCCTGCAGAGCTGGCCACCAATCCTGTGGGCTACCTGGCCATCCCTTATTGCCTGTCATGAGCATTCCCCACCGAGGAAAGAGTCACCAACACTGAGGAAGGGCTGTGAAATCTGCCCATTACAGCAAGAACAGTTTTGAGGAGAACTTTCCCTATTTCTGTTGCACTTGAGGTAGAAGAACTGCAGAGATCTAAGGGGGAATCACAGCACAGCCAGGACCCTCATCCAAGGGTTTGGAGAAACCAGCCACTGCAGATGAAGCAGCAAAGTTCATGCTGCTGCAGGTCACCAGCAGCAGCTTTCTGTGGGTAAGGCAAAAGGAGGAATGGGGGCAGTGACAGAGACCTCTTTAAATCACCAGGGAGAGATTCCTGCCCATCTGACCTGCAGCTGAGTGCCTGGAAAAGACAAAGGAGCCCACTGAACTCCAAAGGGAGTGATGTTGTCTCAGCCCTTGGCACGTGACTGCCATCCAGGTGGTGATAACTGGGCATAATTTATTCAGGTAGAAATCCCTCTGCCCACTCCAACAACGCTTTGTTTGCTTTGTCCTGAATAACAAGCCCACTCGTGCCCTGGAAATGATGGTTCAGAACACATGTGCCGAGTTCCCAACCCTGGGCAATGACAAGAAGTTTCATCAGCTCAGATAAATATCCCTCCCCCTCCCCGGCAACAGGCCCTCGTGCTTCAAATGTCTCACCTCCCCTACCTGCCAACATTTGAACTCCAGAAATACGGCCAGCTGGGAGGGGGCCTGGGATGGGCACTGCCACCCACGAGATACCTGTCAGGCCAGGGCAGGCGTTTGGAGGGAGCCTGGGGTGAGCAAACAGCTCAGCAGCAGCAGGACAGGCCTGGCTCTGGGAGGGTGGGCAGCCTGTGGGTCACTGAGCAGCCCAGAGCCCTCTCTGGAGCAGATGGAGTTTCTCCAGCTCTCCCACTACCTCTGGAGCGCTCCAAGGCTGCAGCAAGGCTCCGGTGGAGACTCCACCTCCCTGCAGCAGGTTCAGGAGCTTCAGGAGGTGCTGGGCACTCACCGATGTTGGTGTCAGCCTTCCCATCACCTACCAGCACTTCCCAGTAACCCACCAGTATCTTCCAGTGTTGCACCAGATACTTGCTGGCCCTTCTCCCTGCACAAAGGCTGCTCTGGGTGGTGTGTGATTCCCAGCAGTGCAGAACACCCTTGGGAGATGCCCCTGGAGGGCAAACACTTCCCTCCACAGAGTTTCCTCACACCTACAGCCAGGGGCTGAATCTTGCTCTGCATTACACTGAGCCCAAAACAGCAATGCAGGGAAACAGGATTTTGGGGTCATTCCCACTGCTCATGGGACCATTTGTTCTGCAGAGCCAGAAGTTCAGAACCATCTAGCACGGCCTTGGTGATGTGGAGGCACTCAGGTGTGGTGTGTCACATCCACACAGGCCACCCCTGACAAAAAATACCACTTGGAACTTACTCTTGGAATAATCCTGCCCAAGCAGAAAGCCAGCACAGCAGAAATGCAGAGCAGCCTCTGTCCCCAGGCCCTCCTTTATCTCCCCCTCCAGGAGGGCTCTTTGAGAAGTGACTGTGTTATAAATATCTCACAGGTGGGTGTCAGAGGACAGTGCCAGACTCTGTTCAGTGTGGCCAATGACAGGATGAAGAGCAATGGCCATACACTACAACACAAGAAGTTCCACCTCAACACAAGGAAAAACTTCTTCCCATGGAGGTGGCAGAGCCCTGGAATAGCTGCCCAGGGAGGGTGTGGAGTCTCCCTCTCTGGAGACATCCCAAACCCACCTAGATGCATTCCTGTGTCACCTGCTCCAGGTGACCCTGCCTTGGCAAGGGGGTTGGACTGGATGATCTCCAGAGGTCCCTTCCAACCATAACAGTTCTGGAATTCTGTGATTATGGAATGGCTCTTTGTTTAGCACGGAATAACCCCTATCCAGTCAGGGCCTGCTTGCTGGAGAAGCTGTTAATTGCCTCCTGTGGTCTTCTGTCAGCAACATTATCCCCTCCTGCCCTGCTGGGACTGGGATGAGGGATTGTCCTGCTCTGTGGCTGCAGTGGGATACGGAGAAGGGGAGGGTGAAACATAATCTGAGAAATAATATCTACGGCAGCAAGCGATGCTAATCAAAAAATCGTGAGGGAAGCAGGATTCCAAGGAGGGAGGAATGCTGGGGGAGGAAAAGCATGGACATCTCTTGACGAAGGTCCAGGATCAGTTTGAAAGGGCCCAAGAAATTCTAATTTAACGTCTATTTTTAATACAAGCCCCGTGTGTGAGGAGAGCCCCGCCCGCTGCGCCGCGATCTCGTTACTGCCCAGATTAGCAACAAAAAGATTAATTTAGACAGGATGGAATAATTTTGAACAAAAGTGTCACTGCCTTCTGAGGAGCAAGGCTGACCCGAAAAGATCACGTACAGGGAAACCCCACACCACAGGCAATCCCTCCTGGAGAGGAGTCCCCCAGCTGGAAACACAACAGTTTGGGCTCATTTCAGCACAGCTGGGGTGGCACCACTGATGTCAGATGACTGTAATATGTCTCTTTAATTGATCATAAATACATGTATTTCACTACAGCTGACAATAAAATCTGTGGAGACAGCCCTCAGAAGCTTCCCGCTTGCCTGTCCTTTGTTTTCCTGGCTTGCATTTTAATTCCTCCAAGTCATACAGAAATAAAGGATTGTGCTCATTCTCTGTCCCTTTTCCAAGAGCTGCAACCTCCCTGACAAGCCCCCAGCCCTCTCCAGGGCTGGGCCATGCAGAAGATGACGAGCTATTGTAGCTGGAGTCTCCATGGTTCTCCTCCTCCTTGAGGTCAGCCCTGCAGGGAGAGGCAAAGCTCCCCTCACACTGCTGGATGTCCAGGCATGGCCCCTCTGGGGCCTCCAAATTAAAGGCTGATGGCAGAGCTGAGAAGGCACAACAACATTTGGGTTGCACTGAGGCAACTTGCCCAATTATTAACATTTTTGTGTTCTTTTCTTTGCCAGAGAAACTGAGCTTTTACTGGCACGGAAAATCACCTCCTCCAAACACAACCGAGTCATCTCTCCAAGTTGCTATCAACATTTCTGCAGAGCATCCTGCTCCAAAGGAGCCAAATCCAGGTGGGATCCTATAACCACAGCCCCCTCCCAGTCCCACCAGCCCTTTGACACAAAGAAATTCATCCTGCCCAGGGGCCGCCCCAGAAATCCCTCCATCCTTTCCAAAACAGAGCAGCTGCTTAGCACTGGCTCAGCACAGCAGGTCAGAAGATGATGAATTCTGTATTCACTTGAGAATTTTTAGGGAAACACAAGCCCAGCTGTGCAAGCTGGAAGAGGGTGGAGACATGTAGTCCAACGCTGCACTGAACAACCCTTCTAAACCATGGGGACTTGGCTACAAACTGCCCCCAAGGCAGTGACCTCTGGTAGGAGAGACTTCCTTGATCTCACATGGAGAATTCTCCCCCACTGTTCCTGCTGCTGGGAAGCAGTGAATGAGTTCCTTGTTTTACTTTGTTTGCGTGCAGGGCTTCTGCTTTACTTATTAAACTGATTTATCTCAACACACGTTATCTCATTTTTGCTGTTCTGATTCTCCCCCCATCCCACTGCAGGGGAGGGAGAGAGGGAGTGAGTGAGTGTGGGGTTGAGCTGCCAGCTGGGGTTAAATCAGGACACTCACTTGGAAGCAGGAGGGATCCCTGACCACCAGCCCAGCTCAACAGCTCCGAGCTGACCAGGCTGAAGGAGCAGATCCCAGCGTGAGCTGGGCTGGGATCACTGCAGCCCTCCTGCATGACCATAGAAGGTAAAACCGAGCCCTGGCAGGCCTGAGGCCAACAATACACTTAAGGCATAAATGTTCTGGTGTTTCGTGCAACTCCATCAAAAATCTTAGAAAAGCTTATTTTTGGCTGAATCAGGTGTCAGTGAAAGGAGTGCCAACTGCAGTGCTCCTCTGCCAAGGCAGGAGGGGACAGACTGCCAGGGACGCCCACGGGGTGCAGAGCGGAGGATTCGCCAGAGGCTCAGTCTCACAAACAGGATCCACCACAGCCAGCCTGATTTCATCCCTTCCCCTCTTCCCCCACACCCCACATTTGTGGGAAGACAGCAGGAAGGGTGTCACTGGTGCTTCACAGATGTCTACACGCCCGAAAGGGCTCTGTCTCTGCTGTAGGCAGTGCCCTACACCACTGTCTTGGAAGGTGAAAAGCATTTTGGGGCTGGCTCTGTGAAGTCTCCATCTGCCCCAGCTCTGTCACAGCGTGTTCCCTGCCCATTCCAGTGGAGTAACCTCCATCCCAGGAGGCTGCTGCTCCAGCTCCATGTAGTTCAGCAGGGTTGCACCACCACAACAGGCTCCAGGACAGAGCATCGGCTCTTGAAAAAATACCTCTGGCACCACAGAATTCCCTTTTCCCTCTAATGAGGCCTCTGTTTTCTTGGGAAAGCACGGAGAGCTCAGACAGAGGGCAGCAGTGTGGGCCCATGGCCAGAGCAGTGCCCTGGGCTGCAGCCACTGTCTCCTCTGGTCTCAGCACTGCAGGGGCTTGGCTGAGCTCGGACAAGGTCTCTCTCCTCAGCCATCCTGTTTCACAGAATCCCAGAACCAGCTGGGTTGGAGAAGATCTCTGAGATCATGGAGTCCAACCTTTGACCAAACACCACCGTGTCAACTAGACCAGAGCACTGAGAGCCATGTCCATCTTAAACACCTCCAGGGACAGTGACTCCACCACCTCCCTGGGCAGCCTGTTCCAACATCTAATCACCCTTCCTGTGAATAAATTCTTCCTAATGTCCAACATAAACCTCCTGAGGCACATAATTTGTGATTATTTAGACCAGCAATGGTCTCCAATTTAGGGGCAGAAGCAGCCTATGAAATGGTTAAACACAACTAAGGTGGAGAAGCACAAGTGGAGTCCTTTGGGGCATCAGCCATGTCTGGGTTGTTTTCCCCTCACCACCCCCAGACACTCCAGGTCTCCTCACCATCACAACTCCACTGCTGTCTGCGCATGACCCAAGGACACACAGTGACACTGTGACACGCACAGTGACACCGGATCTCCCAGGTTATCAGAGTCCAGTGTGCTGGGAGAGCCACATCTCCTGTCAACTCCCACGCACACACCAGCTGCTCCTGCCTGTGACTGACAGGGTTTGTTGTGCTCACAAATCTCCATGAGGCCTCTGCACGGCTTTTTAAGACTGTCAGGTCTTTCACGTTGGGAGGAGCCCTCAAGAAATCACCCTCACAAGCAGGTCTTGTGATCCTCACAAGCTCTTCAGCCACCCTCACAGCACTGTTGAGGACCATTCGACTGAGGAAACCACTTCCTTGGAGTTGTAAGGGAGCTGACAGCAAAAAGAGGAGGAGAATTGCTCTTCCTTGGTCTAACCAACCACCCTGCACAAGGAAGAGCCCTGTAGGTTGGCCCAATGCCCAAACACCTTTGAATCTTCTCTTCTCTGTTTACAGTTCTCAAAGCATTTCATTTTGCTCTTAATATAAAGACCAGATCATCTTGTTGCAGGTGAAGAATGATAGGATGAATTATAGGATGCTTTTATAAGGCGGGATGTATTTCTAGAACATTTACAAGTCAATCTGTGAGTTCACAATTCAAAATAAATTGCCCTTGAGACACATGGCAGGTGACGTGAGCCCAGCGCTGTGCCGGAAGGTTTGCAGTGCTGTCACCCACACCCGTGTCCACGGGGAACAAGGACAAGCTGTTCCTGTGTGTCCTCAGCCTTGTTAACAAAAATGCCACCTGCCCTTCAGGCACTGACACCACGAGTGCCAGCGAGGCCTCATTCTGTGGGTAAGGGGACAGGGACAGCTCAGGGACAGCTCAGGCTCATTAACAGCGACGCCTGACGTCCTTCCCCTCTTCTGCACGTTTGTGTTTCTTTGTTTCCTGTGCTGATCTCTGATTCCCTTTCCCTCCATGCCACAGGAATTGTGTTTGGCCTCTATTCCCACTGGCCCACGGGAGGCTCCTCTGAGGCACCTCTCACCTGTCTGCTGCCAACAAAGGCAGGAATGGGGAACCAACAGCCCCACGGTGCCATTGCTGACCCTGAGGTCTCCAAGGCAGGATGAAGCCTCCTGCCAGAGCACTGTGCTAGTCCCACATCCCTGCAGGTCAGTGGCTGAAGTTAACCCAAGTTACTGGGAATTCAGTAAGGGTTCAGGACCCACTACTGGAGAGGCTTTTTAAGGGACCTGTATTAGACACACTGAGAAATTCAGGAAACATGAAACACTTGGGAATGAGCAACAAAGCTGAGCAACAGGTATGGAGAAATAAAGCAGCAAATCCTGCTCCCTCCAGGCAAACTCTCTTTTGCCACTGCTGCTGGGCTTTAAAAACAGTGACAGGGATGACTTCCAGAAGATAACTGAGCCTGCTGCATCCCACTTATCTGGGACAGGCAAAAAGGCTTCTGGGCGGGGGAAAGCCAGCAAGGAAGGGACCAGGAAATGGTCTCCTGGAGGAGTGTGTGAGATCTCCCTCCCATCACTACACAGGAAATGCACATGCAGCTCCCCCTCCCATCCAAGGAATCGGAAACCAGTCTCTTGGAAAAGGGACTTGAACTGAAATGCAACTTTCAAGCTCATCTTGTGCTGGCTGGGTCTGTTTTTAAGGCACTCACCGAAAAAAACTGATCCCTGCACGTGGTCTTTTAGCTGCCTGGGCCATTCCTTTGCCTCCTCCAAGGGCATTTTCCAGTGTCTTGTCACCAGTTCAGCTGCTTCCTCCAGGTGTCAATCCAGCCTCCTCCAGCCCCCCAAGGAGCAGTGGGATGTACCTTTGGGCTGAAAGAGAACACAGAAGAACAGATTGCTGTGACAACAGGCATGTCAGAGGAGATAAAAACACCTCCTCACCAGTCTGGTGAAAGTGAGTAACAGAAAATCCCTGTGGTCATGTGGCTTTTAAACCTGCACAAACTCAGCCCTGTCCCAGCACTGACTGCCTGGCCAGGCCCAGGCCTCTGCTCTGCAGGGACATCTCTGAGTTAGCACCAAAGAGCTTCTTCCGCTCGGCAACGCTGGAGTAGGAGGAAGGAATTAGAGGTCCTTTGTGCATCTAATACCCAGGATTATTCTCATGGAATATTTCCTTGGATCAGTCCAGCTGACTTGGGCCACAGTCCCGTACGGGCTCCAGTGAGTGGGGAGGGAATGCAGCCGTGGCAGGGCTAGGATTTTACACATTACAGCAATGGGGTGAGAAAACTATTTACACCATTATTTACAAGAGCATGCAGTGACAGGACAAGGGGGAATGGTTTCCCACTGCCAGAGGGCAGGGTTAGATGGGATACTGGGGAGGAATTCTTCCCTGTGAGGGTGAGGAGGCCCTGGCACAGGTTGGCCAGAGAAGCTGTGGCTGCCCCATCCCTGGAAGTGTCCAAGGCCAGGTTGGATGGGGCTTGGAGCAACCTGGGATAGTGGAAAGTGTCCCTGCCCTTGGCAGGGGGTGGAACGGGATGAGCTTTAAGGTCCCTTCCAACCCAAACCATTCTGGGATTCTATGAAAACACTTTTACATTGGCAATTCCCATACTGGGTGCATGGAGCAGTTTTAAAGCCTGGCAGTCTCCACAGCAAGTACATTCTACAAACCCTAAACCGAGCAGTCTCAATTATTTACTCGTTTATAAAGTTAAAACTATCAGACAGACAGAACCATCTCTCAGACAGACATTCCCCTCTGACTGCCATGTATTTTTGGCTGAAGGTATCCCTCCAACTCTCTAACAGGAAGGGGGAGCCGGGGGAGGTCGGGCTCTCTTCCCAGGGAACAAGGGACGGGAGGAGAGGAAACAGCCTCAAGCTGCAACAGGGGAGGTTCGAGTTGGACATCAGGGGGAATGTCTTCCTGGAAAGGGTTGTTAAACTTATGAAGGGGCTGCCCAGGAAGGTGGTGGAGTCACCACCCCTGGAAGTGTCCAAGGAATGACTGGACGTGGCACTCAGTGCTCTGGGCTGTTTGACAAGGTGGTGACTGGTCACAGGTTGGACTCGATGAAATTGGAGGTCTTTTCCAACCCAATTGATTCTCTTTCTAGAGGTTAAATCAGAAGTTTGGGTCCCTTTTTCTATCAGTGGGGGTTTTTACCTGAAAAAGAATTAGATCCTGACTTTATCCAGCGTCACAGACCAGGTAAATCTGCACCAGGTAAACCAGCAAAATGCCAGAGAATCACCTCGACCCCTCCAGCTGCAGAGCGGAGCCTCCCAGGGAGCTGCCACTGGAGCAGGTCCAAGGATGAGGGTATTTGCACACCTGAAAGGTGCAGACAGAGAAAATGGGGTAAAACTGAGATAATTCTAGAGCCAGATCTCTCAGGAATGTTCTCTTTGGGCAAACGCAGGACCCCGTGGCCTTGGAAAGGCCCAGCATTTCTTTTGGGACAAGGACAGGACAAAATGAGTCACTGGTCTCTAATACAAGAGCTTGATGGCACGACTGCAGCCTTTGAGCCTGGAGGATCACCAATATCATCTATAAGCGTAGATCGGCCAAAAACATAACCAAGGGCACCACTGCAGCCCGGGATCTCCCCTCTGATGGGCACAGCAGCACCACTGGTGTGAGGGGAGAGCAGCGGCTGAGGGGGAACGGGGTGTGAGGGGAGAATGGAGTGAGGGAGAATGGGGCTGTGAGGGGAGAGCGGGGGGTGAGGGGAGAGCACGAGGCTGTGAGGGGGGAACGGGGCTATGAGGGGAGAATGGAGCTGAGAGGGGAGAACGGGATGTGAGGGGGAATGGGGCTGTGAAGGGGGAAGGGGGCTGTGATGGGAGAGCCCAAGCATGTGAGGGAAAATGGGGCTGCGAGGGAAAATGGAGCTGCGAGAGGAGAGCGGGTGTGAGGGGAGAGCCCGAGGCTGTGAGGGGAGAGCGGGGCCGTGACGGCAGAGCGGGGCTGTGAGAGGGGAACGGGGCTGTGAGAGGGAAACAGGGATGTGAGGGGGAAATAGGGGTGTGAGGGGGAAATAGGGGTGTGAGGGGGAAATAGGGGTGTGAGGGGAGAGCCCGAGGCTGTGAAGGAAAACGGGGCTCTGAGGGCAGAGCGGGGCTGTCCCGCGGCTCAATCCCAGGACGGGGCGGCCCAGCCCCACGACGAGAGCCCAGCGGGAGCTGCCGCGCCACGTCCGCCGAACACCGCCCGGCCACGGCAATGCCGCCCCAGCAACCCCCTGAGCGGGACCACCACACACCCTCCCCCTCCCCCGTCCCCTCAGCTCTGCGGAGCGCGGAGGAGACGCGCACCCTCCCTCAGCACCCGGCCCGGTCCTCTGCCTTCCTATTGGCCGCGGGTGCTGCCTGTCACGGACCGTCACGCGCGGCAGCCAATGGGCTCTCAGGGAGCGGGGCGGGGGCGGGGCTCGCAGGGCGGGGCCGGGGGCTGTGGCGGCGGCGCGGGCCCGTGTGAGGGGCAGGTAGGGCGGGGGGGCCGCGGGGCCGCGCTCGGGCGGGCTGAGGGGTAGCGGCCCCTCACGGCCCCTCACGGCCCCGCTCCGCTTCACCCCCCGGGGCTGCGGGGCAGCTCGGGCAGGGGGCGGCCTGGATCACCGCAGGCATCCCGGGAGGCCGGGCTGTGGGAGTCCCTGGAGGGCTGAGCATCCGCGGGCCTTCGGCGGGAACTGAGGGGAACCCGGTCGGTGTCGGGGGTGGTTCGAGCACAGATGGTGCAAAAGGGGGTCGGATCCATCGCAATCTTAGAAGGGCTCCGGGTGGTTTTCACAGAATCATCCCAGAGTGGTTCGGGTTGGGAGGGACCCTAAAACTCATCCAGTGCCACTCCCTGCCCTGGGCAGGGACACCTTCCATTGACCAAGTTGCTCCAAGCCCCGTCCAACCTGGCCCTGGACACTCCCAGGGATGGGGTTCAGGGTGAGGAGGTTACTGGGAGAAGGGGCGCGGGCTGGGTGTGTGCGAGCATCACTCTAGGGGTTCATTCCTGGGGGCTGCCACGCTCAGTTACAGCCCCAGGACCTTCACCTTAACCACCCACCTCCTTTTGGGCAGATCCTTTTGGACAGACGGCTGCTGTGGGCTGGGCTGGTCGTCTGGAACACAGTAGCTCTAAGGCACGTGTGCATGTGCCCCTTTGCTGTCAGAGTCAGAAAGAACCACAGATAAATTATCCTTTGTGTGGCCGCGGGTGTTTTACAGTTCACGGTGGGTGGACTCTGTCCAGGTGCCATTCTGAGTTTTTATTTAGGGTAGAACAGATCATGTGTTTTCCCCTGCTTTTGTTAAAATGGCATTTATGAGTTGACCAGATGTTCTGAATTCAATTGAGAGGCTAAAACTCAATTCCAGGCACCCGCCCTACTGTTGAGTTAAAAATTCAAACCAAAGTGCAAACCCACGTACAGTGGGGGACGTGCAGCTCAGCTCAGTCCTGTTCCCCAGATTTGTGATGAGGACCTGAAACCCTGACGTGCAGGGGAGTCTGCCAGGAAAGGACCGCTGTTTGAGGAGATTGTTGAAACTCTGGTGCAAAGGGTTAATAAATCCTGGGCTGAGGAGATAGGACTGGAATGCATTTTGGTGGGTTTTGGCAGGCCAGCTTGTTAGAAGTGGCTGGTGTTTTGTTTAGATAAAGAAGAAAGGAACTTCCATTATGTGAGTTTATAGTGTTGTTAAAGATAAAGCAAAGAATATTGCAGTGATGTAAATCCCAATGGAATCAACATCAGGTGATGGAGTAGAACTACCCGGAGTGAGCTGTGGGATTAAGGTGGAGCTGATTACTGAAGGTGTAAATTCCCTTCCCTGAGTAAAGCTCTGCTGAAGTGGCTTTTCTGAGCTGTCCCAAGGTCCCCAAGACCTGCTCCTCCTTTTCTGCCCCTGAGGGTGAACACCAGCCTGAGCAAGGCCAGCTTGGCCTTGTGCAGAGAAATTAATATTCTTATGGACTTGTGCAAACACACGTCTCTGGAACAGCTTTATCCTTGCACATGGGGGCTGGAATGAGATGATCCTTAGGGTCCCTTCCAACCCAAACCATTCTGGGTTCTGTGATTAATGAATTTATCAAGCTGCCAGCTTGGAATAATTGTAAAATCGGGATTTTACTGAACAGGTATCTTGGGCTAAAGGAGGTTTAAGAATCAGTTTGGAATACTTAGGAATATTCCACCCCGTTCCCATGGCTCATGGCTCATGATAGGCAAATACACTGGTTCCTTCAGCAAAACTTTTGAGTATCAGAAGATGAGTGATTTAACTTTTATGACACAAAAGTTTATTTAACTTTATGACAGCAGTGAGGCCCCAGTGTGCTGCAAGGTCACTCTTGCTCTGTGGTTTTCCTGGTTCTGTATTTTTTACTGAGCACAACTGTCAGCAGCAAAATACCTGTTGCAGGGCTCCACAGCAGTAAGAGAGGAACAGGAGGTTTTGTGCAAGTCAAATTGTGAGGAAATCAGGGATGGTTTTGCGGGGCTGGGGTAGTTTGGATGTGTGTTTGCAGGGGGTGTGGAAGCTCTTCAGATAGGAGTGTTTTTTGGGATCTGTGTAAAGTGTTCCCAGGAGTTTCTGGCTGGCATCAGCTGTGATTCAGGGATAAAATCCTCCTTCCTGGGCAACACTGAGGCGAGTGGGCCAAAAAAAGAGCTCTGACTCCCTCGTTGTGGCTGCGTTCAGATGAGATCCTCCATCCTGGATGTGAGTTTTTGTTCCCTCAGGCTCCCACGATGTTTGCCCAGTGCTCCCGGAATTCCGTGAGCCCCGTGGTGCTGCTGGTGCTGCTGGGCTGCCTCCTGTGCCCCCCAGCACAGGCCAGCAAGGTGGGTGACAGCGTCGGGCACCGTGGGAGGGGCACAGCAGAGCCAGAATGGCAGAGGAGCAGCTGGGGAGGTTTGCAAAGATAAGGAATGGATTTGTGGTGTGTTTACTCTGTAGGGCTGGGACTGTGTGTGACAGTGGCCCCTGCCTGCCTTCTGCTGGGCTTTGGAGTTTGCATTTTAAAATGTGTTTGAAAAGCACCTGGCTGGAGGTGCTGGAAGTGGCCGAGGTGCTCTGGGACATGTTAAACCTGGGAAGGTTCTGATGTCAGAGTGCAGGAAGAAGGGAAGTGGGGGGAGGTGTTCTCTGGGGTGGAGTGTTCTCGTCCCAGAGGACGTTCAGCCTGTCCCCAGCCCGGGGTGGTGAGGGTGGCAGAACTGGGGGTTCCCTCCCTCACTGGCTCCTCTGCCCCTGCAGAGCTCCGAGGACATTCGCTGCAAGTGCATCTGCCCCCCGTACCGGAACATCAGCGGGCACATCTACAACAAGAATGTGTCCCAGAAGGACTGGTGAGTTGGGCTGGAAGCCTGAGGGCTCAGTCCATGAGAGCCACCAACGCTGCAGAGTTGGCAGCTGGTGCCAACCCTGCCTTTGTGTTTGCAGAGGGAGCTGTGGTAGGTGATGTTCAATCCAGGCCAGGGGCGGTTTTTAAACAGAAATTGAGGAATCTGGGATGATTTCTTAACCCATGGCTCTTGGCAGGTGTCAAGTGTACCGTCCAGTCCCCCTCACCTGGACTGGATCCCTGCAAAAGGCACTTGGACAGTCTGTCCCAGGACTAGCTGAGCTGGGAGGGGAGCTCCTAAAACCGGATCGGCGTTATCAGCCTGCAGGGAAAGCTGGGACACACAAAAGTGTCACCCCAATGTCCTTCCACAGAGCACTGGTTTCACCTTCACCTTGTCCTGCTGCTGACCTTGGTTTGTTTGTGCTGCAGCAACTGCCTGCACGTGGTGGAGCCCATGCCAGTGCCCGGGAACGATGTGGAGGCCTATTGCCTGCTCTGCGAGTGCAAGTACGAGGAGCGCAGCACCACCACCATCAAGGTAAGGGCAGCTCTGTCCCCGGGCCTGGCTCCTTCTCCTGGCCAGGCCGTGCCAGCCCAGGCACTGCTGGGTTCCTGCAGAAGAGCCCAGAAGGAGAAAATCCAACTGTCACAGTGGGTACACTGTGGCAGTGCCAGGAGCTCACTCTCTACAACTCCCTGGAAGGAGGCTGGAGCCAGGTGGGGACTGGGCTCTGCTCCCAGACAACCAGTGACAGGACGAGAGGACACAGTCTTAAGCTGCACCGGGGAGGTTTAGGTTGGACATTAGGAAGAAATTCTTCACAGAAAGGGTGATTACATATTGGAAGGGGCTGCCCAGGGAGGCAGTGGAGTCACTGTCCTTGGAGGTGTCCAAGGAATGACTGGACGTGGCACTTGGTGCTCTGGGCTGGGTGACAAGGTGGGGATCGGTCACAGGTTGGACTCGATGATCTCAGAGGTCTTTTCTCACCTAACTGATTCTGTGATTTCTGTGTCTGAGTCAGGAATGCTCCTCGCTGTGAGGAGCTGCAAGAAGAGTCTTCTTGCCAGGGATGTGTGACAGTGCCACGCACCTCTGAGCAGGAACCCATCTCTTGGTGTCCTCTCACGTGCAGCACGTGGCCTGAGCTGGCACAGTGAGGAGGGTCAGCACAGCCTGTGCAGTGACAGCACATCATCAGCCCCTGGCAAGGGCAGGAGACCTTGTGAGCAAAACGAGAATGAGAGATCAAACACCAGAGGCAGCTGCAAAGGACCTTGTGACCTCTGTGGTGCTTCTTCCCCACGGTGCTGAACCTTTCCCACGTGCTCCTCTCCAGGTGATCATCATCATCTACCTGTCGGTGGTGGGGGCCCTGCTGCTGTACATGGCCTTCCTGGTGCTCGTGGACCCCCTGATCCGCAAGCCCGACCCCTACACCCACCCCCTGCACAACGAGGAGGAGAGCGAGGTGAGGCTGTGGGGGGCACTGGGGGGGCTCTGCTCGTGGGGCAGACAGGCTGACAGGAGAGTGGGTGACAGGGAAACAGTGACCCCCTGTCTCCTCTGAGCCAGGGAGGGACCAGCACTGCTGCTTTGGGGGCACCCACACAGGGGAACACTTCGATCAGATCTGTGCAAGTCCTGCGGAAGCACAGGGAATAATCAAAGTTCTAACCTTAAAAGGTCTCAAAGTTCTCCCCCTAACCTGTCCTCTATGGCAGGGGGGTGACGTTGTCCCAAGTGGCCTGAATTTGGTCTGTCTGCCCAGATGGAACCAAAACTCAAACGGATCCTATTTGTGCAGTGTCCCAGGTGGAGTCACTTGGTGCTGAGCTTCCAGGGAAGGATGGGCTTAAGTATTTGCTGGAACATCTTATAGACACATCAAAGAGCAGCCTCGAGGGGCTGTTTGACCCTGCTCTGGGGCTGGGCCCTGTTGTAGCCAGGCTGTTGGTCCTTGTGTTTCTCCCCAGAGGAGAATTTCATTCAAATCCTCTTTCTGGGGGACACTGGCATACAAAGCTTGGTCAGAAAGATCAGGACCTAGCAGCAAAGAGAGAGTCTCTCTGTCTCTCACACACATACACACATTTTGGGGGAGGACAAATTTCTTGCTGCACGAAATTCCTGCAATTTTAGCACTGGATCAGACTGTCCTGTTTGTATTTTAAGTATAAACTATTTGGCTCAGTTCTTTCATACTGTGATATAAGTGAGGAGTAGCTGCTCCAGTGTGCCCAGTCCCTCCATTACCACCCTCTGCTGAAAAAGGAGGTCCTGCAGGAGGAGGTGAACTGTATCCTAGAATTGTGGGTTCGCTCCCTGCACCACAGCAATGATCCAGAGTTAGATCCAGGTGCACTCTGTCAATGCCTGGTGTTAGGTGAGGTTTATCTTAGTGCTGGGTTCTGGGACAGGCCTTGGTGCTCGTGTGCCACGACAGATGCCCATCCACAGCAGCAGTCTCTGGCTCTGTTTCAGGGGGTGCTGTGGTTCACTGTGGCTCCTTGCAGACTCCAAGCAGTGGGTTTCCAGCAGAGCTTTAGACTTGGTGCAGTTCCTGTCCTGGGGGCTTTTATTTGAGTGGTCCCCACGAGAGAGGAGTTGGGGGGCTGGTGTTGAGGAGCTCTGGAAAGGTGGTTCTTCCTCAGGACAACTCAAGCCTTGAGTTGCTCCTTCAGTTGTGGTTTCTCCCAGGCTGGGCACTCCCAGATTCCCACACTGCTCCCTTCTCTCACAGGACACTCGCTCCTTGGCCGCAGTGCCCACCCCAGCAGGAGCCAGAGCCAACACGGTGCTGGAGCGCGTGGAGGGGGCCCAGCAGCGCTGGAAGAGGCAGGTGCAGGAGCAGAGGAAGACGGTGTTTGACCGGCACAAGATGCTGAGTTAGATCCCTGTGGGCCCTCGGCGTCGCTTCCCAGGACACGGGGCAGCTCCTGGAGCAGCCGCACAGGGGTCACCGTCAGGACACCGCGGTGTGGGACCGAAAGCTCGAACCCTTCCCTGATTCACCGTTTCCATCAGCCCCAAATGCCTCCCCTGGTTCTGCCCCCGCCCCTCCCCTCTCAGAGCCCAGAGGCTCCTTCCCCTGCCCGGCTGATCCTGGGGCTGTGTGTGGGAGCCCCGGACTCCTGGGGCTCCATCAGCCCACCCCACATCAGACAGGGATCTCAGCACGGAGCGCTGGGAGCCGGCTGAGTCTTCTGCGGATAAAAACAGTGGGGTAATTTTGATGTGAGATAATTTATGTGATGCTCCTCCAGGATGAAGCAGTCACCTCCTCCTGCTCTTCCTCCGGCGTGCACTGATGTTAACTGGGCATTGTGGTGCACGTGTGCAGCACTGGGAGGAAGAGGAGGGGGTTCCTGCCAGCTGCTGCTTCCACTTATCCTGGTGTACATGGAGAGACTCCACACCCCAGTGAAGTCTGTCCAGGTTTACACCAGCACAACCAAGGCTGCAGCTTGTTTCTGTGGAGGTGAACATCACCAACCCAATTAGTACCTGCAGCAGGAAGAGTCCAGCAGGTAAAACCAGCTGATTTACACTTATATCTTTTCATTCTTTAGCAGTGGGTAAAAACCTCCTGGGGAGAAACCTTTCTGTTTGTACCCATGCTGGTGACCCTTGGTGCTCTCCCAGTGAGGGCAGAGCATTTGTGTCCAAGAGAACCAGGGCAAAGGCTCTCCTGGAGCACTGGAAACACTTGTCTGGGCCTTGGGGCCCTGGGGAGGGGACACTTGTGCTACTCAAAGCTCTCTGAGAGCTCTGGCCAGACTTGGGCTTGTGTGGAGGAAACCAAAGTGATTCTGTGATGTGCACACTGAGAACATTTGGAATGTCAGGAGGTGCTGGAGTTCATCGTGTAGCATCTCTCTATTAAATGCAGACAAAGATCCACTACCTGGGTGGCTTTTTTTCGGGGAAAAAGTCCCCTCATGCCAGGTCTGGGGCTCTCCAGTGCCTGGCAGGTGAGTTGATGCCACTCAAGCCAGAGCTGTGGTTATGGCATTCGGGTGTTTGGGCACTGCAGGTGTGTCCCTGGGTTGGAAAAGACCCTCTGAGATCTTCCAGTCCAGTCTGGGACCATGATTATGACCCTGCCAGACAAACCCAAACAAGCTTCTGGGGGCCTGTTCCCCTCCAGCCCCTCACTGGGCTGAAAAGGACCCTGAGCTCCATGTTATCCTGAGGTCACATTTTCCTTGACCCGTCCTTGTTCCCTGGAGCTCAGTTCTGGACCTTTCTCCCCCTTGTAGAAACCCCATCTTGCCTGTCCTTTCCTTCAGGTGGGAATCCTGCATGGACACAGGGTGTGGTCCCTGGGAACTGATTTCTTTCCTCCCTCGAGGGGGGAACAAGCCGCCGGTGAGAGGCTGAGCCGGCACGATGGGTCCATCTGGTGGCCACCGCCCACCTCGGTCAGCACCGGGACCTGGCTGGTCACCAGTCAGGGGGTTTGGGGAGCACCAGCCCCAGACCTTCCCCTGACCCCTCCCAGGAACAGCTCGGAAATGGGATAGGAGGGGAGGAAAAGAATGCAGTTAGCAATCAGGAGTTTGGGTGAGTTAGAAAACTTAGGGAAGGGACGATGTGGAGAGGCTGCAAAAACTGCCAATGCCTGATTAATAACTTGATTTGTTAATTAATTGATCAGCTTTGTCCTGTACATCATCCTCCCTGGGAGGAAATGTTTTCTACTGCCCAGCCTCTTCCCCTCCCTGTACCTGCTCCATTGCTCACTGGGGTATCCCCCGAGTGGGCACATCCTGGTGGGCCCTGCTCCTGGCCCCGTCCACATCCCACAGCAGTGCTTCCCGTCCCTTGGCAGATGCCAGCAGGAGTCAATAATTTAATTCCTTATCAAAAAACGGGAATGAGAAAAATAAAGGACCTCTGGGAACAAAAGCCAGCTGTGCCCTGACAGCCGTGCTCAGGTGCCCGCCGCGGTCCAGACGTCGATGCTCCGGATGATGAGCCACTCGCTCTGGGCCCGGGTTACCCGGATCCTCACACACTCCACGGGGCCGGGGACACCCCTCTCCAGCCCCCGCCGGTCCACGGTGCCCTTCTCGAAGGTTCCCACCGGGATGTAGGTGGAGCAGTCACGGCCGTCGCGGCGCCGCCGGCCCAGCTCCAGCACCCCCGCGCGCAGGAAGTCCCCGCGGCGCTCCTGGGAGCCCGTGAGCACCCGCACGCGGCTGACGAGGGCCGGCTGCCGGAACACCACCGAGAAGACGCTGCCGGCTGCTGGGTCCTTCCCCCAGAAATAGCCCTCTGCCGAGCTGTAGGCCTTGAGGGGCTCGTAGTGCTCGAAGACGGCCATGCTGGTGTACAAGGACGCCGGAGGGTTGTCCGGAACGTCCAAGGCATCGGCCTGGAAATCGTCGTCCTCCAGCCGGTTGACGGTGCCCTGGAAGGAGGAGTAGAGGCCCATGTGCTGGAAGAGGGATGGCTTGAAGCGGATGACGTCCTTCTGGGTGAGCAGGTGGCGGAAGTGCACGAGCAGCCAGTCACAGGGCATCTCCTGGTAGAAGAGGAGGAGGAAGCGAGCCAGGCGAGGGAGGTCGCTGGAGCGGTAGAGCTTCCCAATGTAGCCCAGCTTGGAGAACTCCAGGGTGGCCCAGTTGGAGCCCTCCTGGGAGGCCAGAGCCTTGCGGATGGCCGTCAGGAAGGAGCGGGCGCACCACACGTCGTCCTCGATCATCAGGTAGTAGGAGGAGAGGTTGGCGGCGAAGGCGAGCAGGAAGGCGTAGTCCACGTTCTGCTTGGAGCGGAACCTCACCCGCTCCTCGGGGTCGTTGAAGTTCCTCTTGAGCCCTTCCAGGGTGGGGTAGAGCTCGTGGGGGGCGTGGATGAGCAGCAGCCGGCCCAGGAGGATGTGGCGAGCGAACTTCTGGGCGATGCCGAGGGCGACGCGCGCGTTCCAGCCGGGATCCGCGTCGGCCAGGTGCACCACCACCACCATCTCCCGCAGCTCCTCCTCCGTGGACTGGCTGAACAGGGACTGCAGCGTGGCCGGCAGGTAGAAGCCGCGCGGCCGCCGCACCGACGCCAATCCCACCGCCAGGAATTCTGCACGGCAAAGGAAAGGCGTGACCTGGGATGCACCGTGGGGAGGTTCTTCCCTGCAGGCCACGAGGAGTGGGCTCCAAAAAGCTCTTCCCGTGGCCACCCCGCACCGTTAATGCCATTTATAGCCCCATGTCCAAGGTGGAGGGTCCTCTCTGAGCTGAAGCCCCCCCAGTGTCCCAGAAGGGGCCCAAAGGTCAGTGAGAGGATGGGATGAGACACCAGGAGCTCCTCTGAAGGAGAAATACTTGGGAAAAACACCTTTAAAAAGCCAAACCCGGAGAAGTAACAGCACAGAGTCTACAGGGCAGGAATGGCTCGTTGGCTTGGCTGCACATCCTGGAAGTGTGCCCTGCCCTGAACCTTGTGGAGATGCCCCACACTGGATGAGACATCAGTCCTGCCCTCCCCATGGCCCAGCAGGGGTTCAGCTTCTCCTGCTGCTGCTCCGTGCAGCACCATCCACGGGCTGGTTCCAGCACAGCCTCGCGTGGGGCTGCCCTGAGCTCCTTCCCCCGGGGTTTGTGTGGGAGCTGCTTTCAGTGCCCCTGCCCAAGAGCCTGGCCCACATCTCCCACCCTGTGTGGGTGTCCCCATGGTCCAGCTCCACCACCTCCACAAGAACCTCAACCCCAGGGAGGTGGGATCCCAGCCACCCTTCCCACAGAGGTCTGGGAACCCCAAAACGCCTGCGGTCACCCCAGTGCCAAGGTGTAGAAACATGGACCACGCTTGGAGTATGTGGACCTTCCCCTACGCCTGCAGCCCCCAGAGCAGTGTTGGCAGGTCCTCAGAGCCCCCCTGGGGTGTTGGCAGGTTCCCCACCCCGACAGGGTGGACACGGCCCCTCCCTGCCCCAGCAGCAGCAGCGATGGGTCTGTGCTGGGACAGATGTGCTGGGACAGATGTGCAGACCCAGAGCCCTGCTCGGGCTGGGCTCCCAATCACTCACTTTTTTGGGGTGCCAGGGAACCAGCCAGGACATGGTAGGAGACGTTGTGGAGCGGGGAGAGCTCGTCCGTGTCCCTGAGGATGCGCTGGGCTCCTCCCGGCCGCAGCAGCTGCAGGATCGTGTCGGGGGTCAGGCCCCTCAGATCCACCTGGGTGGGAGCCACAGGGAGCCAGATCAGAGCCTGGAGCACCACGGACACACAGGAGCAAGGGGGAACGACAGCAGGGGTCCCAGAAGAGATGGGGAACCCCTGTCCTGCCCTCCAAGCTCCTGGATCCAGGGAGGCCCCACTGCCCAGGGCAACTCCAGGGAGAGGAGAAGGCAGAGCTGGGGTTGGGGGTGACAGTGCAGGGAAGGGAGCAGAGCTGGGGTTGGGGGTGACAGTGCAGGGAAGGGAGCAGAGCTGGGGTTGGGGGTGACAGTGCAGGGAAGGGAGCAGAGCTGGGGTTGGGGTCTACGTGGGGCAGGAAAAGATGGAGGATGCTCCAGTGGCCGCTCCAGAGGGACATCAGTGGTTGGGAACTCACCTCCAGGGGATCCTGTTCCTGCTGGCTGCCCCCATGGAGGAGGAGGAGGAGGAGGAGGAGGAGGAAGGAGGCTGCGAGCACGGCGGTGAGGCAGCGCTTCAGGGAGCATCGCATCGCACCGGGCTGGCGCTGCTGAGGGCTGTGGAGGAAGGGGCGTGTCAGGGAATAGCCAAGGAAAACCCCCATCCCCTGGATGGGACTCTAGGGCAGCACCTGGATGAACCCCTGGGACTGAGCCCTCTGGCCAGAGCACCCAGGGGTGCACACCCAGGGCAGCCACGGGGCATCAGGGGGCACTTGTGCACGATCCCCTTTGGGCAGGTGGGGCAGGACACCCCAACTCAGCCAGGAAAACAATCAGCCGGGTACAAAATCCATCCCCAGCCCAGCCCCACAACACCCAGGCTGCCCTCAGACACCCCCCCAGCACCCCCAGAGCTGGAGATGGAAGAAATGCAGGTGCCACGTGCCCTGGGGAGGGCTTTTGGGTCACAGGGACACCCGTGGAGCAGCCACCGACACCTCAGGACTTGGCCTCGCACCCTGGGAAACACTCGGGTCCCAAATGAGCCCGGGCTGCTCTCCCAGCACCACGAGGGTGAAGCAGCTCCTCCAGCCCCTCCTGCCCACCCTACTCCCCTCCTGCCTCCAGGCAGGCCCCGTCCCAGCCACAGCCCCTGCTTGGAAGAACAAGGTGTCCCTGAGGGCACAGTGTCACCTCCGAGGAAGTCATGGTGCCCTTGAGATATTTTACCCTGTGGCAGAGGCGTGGCAGGAGCCTAAAAGACTCCTGTGTTTGCCTGGCGATTTTCCAGTTTAAATATGACTGGGGCCGCCCTGGAACAAGAGAAGCTGGAGACCAACCCAGTGCCCATCCTGGCAGGGCAGACACACTCAGCCCCATCCAAACCGCTCACAGCACCTCAGTTTGTCTTGGTCAAAAGCATCTTTGAGTGCAAACGTGGAGGAAAAACCCTCCTAAACCTTCCCAAACCAAGGCCGGGCTTCCCAGGACTTCTCCCTAAACACCTCCCTGCATCCACTGGGATGCTCCCGGCCCACCCACAGGCCCCAGGTGGCAACGCAGCACCTCTCTGGCACTGCCCCAGCATTTGCTGGGCTTATTTTAAGGAGAATCCCCTCAGTTTTCCCGCCCAGGAGTCCTTTGGGGGATTGTCAGCACCTCGCCAGGCTGGTGCCAAGCAGGTGCCCCTGATGCCACGGGCAGCCTGTCCTTGTGCCACTGCCCTCATCTGAACAGGGAGATAAACCCTTGGAGCCAGGGAGCCGCTCCCCCAGGGAGCAGCACAGCCCATCCTGGCCAGGAGAGCAGAGGAGCCTCCTCCCCTGGGCTGGAACCGGGCCGTGGGTGAGCTTTTGGGAGCACTCGGAGGAACAACGAGCTCCTGGAGCTGCTTAAAAATCTCTGTCCAGAGAGCAGGGGAGCAAAGCCTCTCCTTTCCCCCCAGCTCTGGGCCATGGGGAGCTCACCAGTTTATGGGGGAGCAGCCTTAGGGACCCAGCTGAGCTGTGGGGACATCACTCCCTGCAGCCATGCTGGACGTAGATTTCCAAGCCTGGACCCCTGGGATCTGAGCTGGGAAGGGCGAGGCTTGGTGGGCAGCACAGGCTGGGTGCTCGGTTACTCTGGGTGGCCAAAGGTTTTTCTGGCTGCTGGGGAGTGTCTGGCTGCCAACAGCCCATCCTGGATGGAAAACAGCTCCAGCTCCCACAGGCAGCAGTTCCCTCCAAGGGAGCCCACAGGGAACAGGGGTCCCAGGCAGCTCCGGCAGGGCAGGTTTGACAGAGCAAAAGGATACGAGCGCTGCCCCATAATTAGCCCCCTAATTGGGCTTTGGATTTTTGCCCCCATGGAGACACAAAGCAGCCCGCCTGGATGGGACAGCCAGGACACACCCGCTGGGCTGGGGGGACTCCAGGGAGCATCCCTGTCCCTGCTCCTGTCCCAGCACCTCAGGCACCTTCCCCACAGCTCAGCACCCCACTGGGGACATCCCTAGAAGCCACCCCGCTGTGGGGACACTGGCCAGGAGGAGCTGGCTGCTGAGAGCTGCTCGCCTGGAGCCAAACTCCTCCGCTCTGCCGGGAGACTCCAGAGCCAAACGGGCCGTGTGCCGGAGCAGCCGTGAGTCGGTCCAGGGAGAGGGGAAGGGACTGAGGGCACACGAGGCTGTGAGGAAGGGCCGGATGATCCCGTGGGCAGGCGGCTCCAGCTGCTTCCGCTGGCACTGGGAGAGCAGGGCTGGTTGCACAGGGAGGAGGGAACAGCCGGGGCTCCCTGTCCCTCTGCCTTTCCACGCCAGGGGAAACTGAGGCACGGAGAAAGCAGAAAGGATAAAGGCTGCATCATCCAGAGGGATGAATGCCAGGTCTCCTGCGGCACAGGTCAGTGCCCCTCCCCACCGCCCTGGGAGGGTCCCCGGGATGGAGAGGGACAGGGGGGAACCCAGAGCCAGAAGTCGAGTGGCAGGGGGGACATGGCAAATTGGGGCAGCACAATGTCCCCGATGGGCAAATCGCCGTTTGGGGCTCCTGGGAGCCAGCCCGGGGTCCAGCCCCACAGGCTGTGGGTGTCTCTGCTCCAAGGGTGGTCCCACGGGGAAGAAGGAGGGGAAATGCCGTGTGTAGGTAGCACACGACTCCAGGAGCCAAAGCCTTTGGTCAGCACAGGTGTCCCACAGCCCCCCAGCACAGGTGAGGGGTCACCTGGCTCCTCTCTGACAGCACAAGGACCCCGAGCCCACCCTGCCCTCACCCCCCCGGCAGCCCTTCCCGTGCCCCCAGAGCTGGCTCCTGCCCCGGAGCGCTCCGGACGTGCCCCCGAGCGGCAGAGACTCACGGAGGGGCGGCGGCCGGGCAGGACGGGCGGCGGCCTCGCCGGCTCGGGAGTGCTCGGCCCTGGCAACTTCCCCGGGCTGGCCACTCTGGATCCTCGCTCGGCAAAGCCCCACCCCGAGCCCTCGCCTGCCTCCCGCAGAGGAGGAGCGTCGGCCGGAGCCTCTGCCCGGGAGCCTCGGGAACCGGCCGGGCCGGGGGGGACCCCGGGGGGGACCCCAGAAATGGCAGCAGCCTCAGGACGGGCATCCCACCATGGCACCGGCTGTATCCCACCACTCCCATCTCCGCTGGCAGCACCAACCCCCCGAGGGCTCTTGCCAAGCCTCAGCATCCCAAACTCCAGCTCCAACCTGCCACTTTGGTGGCACTGAGGGGAAAGCACGACGTATATCCTGCACACGGAGCTGGCACGGCTCTCTGCCCGTTTGTGTTCCAGCTCTTGGGCTGAGGTGGCAAAAACCTCAGGGGCTGCTGAGCCAGAACTGAACCTCTGGCACCCCGGGGCAGAGCTGGCTGCCTGGATCCCAGCCAGGATGCAGCTCAGGGACACCACGGCTTCCCCACACAGCCCAGGGACACCACGGCTTCCCCACACAGCCCAGGGACACCACGGCTTCCCTACACACCCAGGGACACCACGGCTTCCCCACCCAGCCCAAGGACACCACGGCTTCCCCACCCAGCCCAGGGACACCACGGCTTCCCCACCCAGGCCAGGGACACCACGGCTTCCCCACCCAGGCCAGGGACACCACGGCTTCCCCACCCAGCCCAGGTCCCCCCGGAGCACTGGGTATCACGGCTGGGCTGGGACTGAACCCCTTGTAACCCCCAGGAGCCAAGGTGTGGGCCCTTCCACGGCCCAGTTTGTTCCCAGCTTCTCCACTCTCCAAGCTTTGTTTGTCTCCCACTGTTTCCCTCCTCTGGATCCACAGCAGGAACACGGCTCTGGAGCCTGATGGCATCACTTGTCCCCGGGTCAGAACCAGCCCAGCTCCTTCCAATACAGTCACTCACCCACAGCACCCAAACCCAGAGGAAGACCCTTCCCTCCCCCCAGTCCCACCCTCCCCATTTATTCCCACAGAGACCTGGATCCCTCCTCCCTGCTCTCCTTGCTGTCCTGGACCTCTCCTACATCCAGGAAGGCCCCACGTCTCTTCCAAGGCTCCGTCTTCTACAGATCCCCCGTGGTGACTTCCAGTCCCGGATCCTCACACGGGAACGGTGCCTGGGGCTCGTCTGCCAGGACAGAGTGGCCACAGGGAGATGTTGCAGGGCAGGAAGCGGGTGATGGCACCGGGAAGGAGAGGGAGGAACATCCGCAGGCTCTCGGATCCGCTTCCCCCCGGTTTGGTTTTTAAATCCTTACACTCCCATCGTGGGATGCCAGTGGCTCTGTCCCCACGGGGGTGACTCGGTGGGGACACCCCCCCTGCCCTGGAGCCAGGGCAGCCTGGAGTTCCCACCAGGGCAGGGGCTGGGAGACACCAGGAGGGCCCAGGGAGCCGGTCTGGTGCCCCCAGCAGAGGTTTATGTTCAGTGCCCTGGGGAGGAAGGGCCGTGGGACTCGGTGGCTCCTGGGAGGCGTCACAAGGGCAGCAGCCGCGGGAGGGGGAGGGCTTTTGTCACCACAGGTGTCCCATGACCCCCATCCCTGCAGGAAACAACAGGGCTGGGTCCTTCCTGTCCTTGTGGGAAGGAAGGGGAGGGTGGTGGGGCCAGCACGGCCCTGGGGTCTCGTCCCCAGCACAGCCCTGGGGACCCCAAAACAGCCCTGAGTCCCTGACACAGCCCTGGGGACCCTGACACAGCCCTGGGTCCCAAAAACAGCCCTGAGTCCCTGACACAGCCCTGGGGTCCCTGACACAGCCCTGGGCCCCAAAAACAGCCCTGAGTCCCTGACACAGCCCTGGGTCCCTGACACAGCCCTGAGTCCCTGACACAGCCCTGGGGTCCCTGACACAGCCCTGGGCCCCAAAAACAGCCCTGAGTCCCTGACACAGCCCTGGGTCCCTGACACAGCCCTGGGCCCCAAAAACAGCCCTGAGTCCCTGACACAGCCCTGGGGTCCCTGACACAGCCCTGGGTCCCGAAAACAGCCCTGAGTCCCTGACACAGCCCTGGGTCCCCAAAACAGCCCTGGGGTCCCCAACGCTTGTGGGTGCCACAGGCCCCTGCCATAGCAACATGGGGAACACCCAGCTCTGCAGCAGAGCCACTAAAGCCCCCTTTGGTCCCCACATGCCACCTCAGGGTGCAGTGCTAGGGCAGGATTTGACCCTCTCCAGGCACACCCATCCTGCCTGGAGCAGCAGAGGAATGCCCAGCCAGGACACAGCCCCCAGTGCCCAGGCAGGGTGCTCCTGGGTCCTCTTGCCCTCCAAAAGGTCCCACAAGCCCAGTCTGAGCCAGTCACCCCCTGTGCTATGGGACAAACCCCAAACGGTGTTTGGGGTGCTAGAAAAGGGCTCTTCCACCCATCTCTCCTGTGAGGGGCACAGCACAACCCCAGCACCTGGGCACAACAGGGCCCAGCACCCAGAGCCACTCCCAAACCTCCCACTGGCCCAAAACCCAAATGTGCTCTGCTCGCTGAAATATTTGCCCTGGGGGACAGGGAGGGGGCTGAAATGAGGCTAAAAGGCACATTTTTGCTTGTTTTTGGAACAAGCTGGAGAATGAAAGAGAAGCCTCAGGTGCAGAGGCTGTGGCTGTGCAGGCTGTGCACGGCCCAGCTCAGGGGGCCGGGGAGGACCAGTTCCCCCAGTTCCCCCAGTTCCCCCAGTTGGGGCTGGAGCAGAGCACTGGGGTGGGACAGGCACGAAGGGACCCAGGGCAGGGCCCAGCCACCTCCCCCAGGCACCCAGCCCTCAGCTCACCTGGCTCAGCTCCTGTTGGACACCAGATCCCTGACCAGGAGGGGAGGCCAAGCCTCCATGTGTCCCCTGGGGCAGCAGAGAGCCAGGCCGGATCCATTACAGCCCTTCCATTATTCAGAGGCCCAGGCAGGACAAAGGGGAGGGACAACGGGGGAGGGAGAGGACTGGGGCTCCACTCCCCACGGTGCTGATGTGGGGCTCCATTTGCCCCCCACCAGGGTCCCCTCTGAGTCCTGCAGAAAGGGGTGGCTGTCACACCAAACCACAGCCTCGCTGAAACCCACCCCTGGAGAGCACCAGAGCGGAGGGTTTTGGCAAGCAGGCTCCGAGAGAGGCTGGGCCTGGGGGACAGGGGTGGAAAGCCCCTGCTCAGGTCTGGCCAAGTGGTGCTCACATCACCGAGCAAACCTCAGCACCGGGGTCAGGTTCCGCTGCTGTGGGGAAGGCAGGAAGGGGAACAGCCACAGCCTGCAGAAATACACGTAGGCGAGCAGAGCCCAACCTCCCCAGCACCACTGCCACCTCCCCAGCACCACTGCCACCTCCCCTGAACCACTGCCACCTCCCCAGCACCACTGCCACCTCCACAGTGCCCCTGCCACCTCCCCAGCACCCATGCCACCTCCACAGCACCACTGTCACTCCACCGCACCCCTGTCACAGACCCCTGCCCCCTCCCCAGCTACCCCTGTCACCTCCCCAGCACCCCTTTGTCACAGCACCCCTGTCACCTCCCCATGCACCACTGCACCTCCAAAGCACCACTGCCCCATCTTAACAGCACCACTGCCAGCCTCCACAGTGCCCTTCCCTCGCACCTCCCCCAGCACCACTGCCCCACCTCCCCATTGCACCCTGCACTCCACAGCACACTGCCACCCTCCCCAGCCACCCCTGTCACCTCCACCGCACCCCTGTCACCTCCACGCACCCCTGCCACCTCCCCAGCAACGACTGCCCCCCTCATCTAGTGCCCCTGTCACATCCAGCCAGCAACCCCCCCTCTTGCCACTTCCCGCACCACTGCCACCCTTCCCCCGCACCACTGCCACCTCCACCGCACCCCTGTCACCTCACTAGCAACCACTGCCACCTCCCCAGCACCCTGTCAACCTCCACAGCGCTCCTGTTCACCTCCACAGGGCACCCCTGCCACCTCCCCAGCCACCACTGCCCACCCTCCACCGCACCACTGCCACTCCACAGCACCACTTGCCACCTCACCGTGCCCCTCCCCTGTCACCTCCCCAGCACCACTTGCCACCTCTCCCCCGCCACCACTGCCCACCTCCCAGCACCCATGCCTCCTCCCCAGCACCCTGTCACCTCCACAGCACCCCTGTCACCTCCACAGCCACCACTGCCATTCCCAGCACCCTGCCACCTCCACAGTGCCCCTGTCACCTCCACAGCACCACTGCCACTCCCCAGCACCACGCCACCTCCCAGCACCACTGCACCTACACAGTCACCCCTGTCTACTTCTCCACAGCACCACTGCCACCTCACAGCACCACTTGCCACCCTCCCTAGTGCCCCTGTACATCCACAGCACCCCTGCCACTCTATCCAGCACCACTGGGCCACCTCCACAGCACCACTTGCACCTCGCACCGCACCACTGCCACCTCCCCAGCACCCACTGCCACGCTCCACAGGTGCCCCTGTACTCCCCAGCCACCACTGCCCCTCCCCAGCACCACTGCCACCTCCACAGAACCCCTGTCACCTCGTCACAGCAATCCCTGTCACAGACCCCTGTCACTCTCCCCCTGCACCATGCCACCTCCACGCACCCCTGCCACTCCACCGCAACCCTGCCACTCCCAAGCACCCCACGCCACCCTCCCCAGCACCAACTGCCACCTCCACAGCACCCCTGGTCAGGCCATCCTCATCAGCACCCCTTTTCCACCTCCACAGCCCCCCTGCCACCTCCCAGCACCACTGCCACCCTCCGGCAGCGCCACTGCCACCTCCCCAGCACCCACTGCCACCCATCCACCCGCACCACTGCCCCTCACCTAGCGCCACTGCCACACGCTCACAGCACCATGCCACTCACAAGCACCACTGCCAACTCCACCGCACCCCTGTCCCTCCACAGCAACACGGCCACCTCCAGCAGTTGCCCTGCCAAATACCCAGCAACCCTGTCACCTCCACAGCACCCCTTCACCTCCACCGGCCCCCACCACTGCCACTCCCCCGCCCCACTGCCCCTCCACAGCACCCCTTGTCCACCTCCCCAGCACCTGTCACTCCCCAGCACCCCGTCCCACCTCCACAGCACCACTGCCACCTCCACAGCACCACTGCCACCTCCACAGCACCCCTGTCACCTCCCCAGCACCACTGCCACCTCCACAGCACCCCTGCCACCTCCCCAGCACCACTGCCACCTCCACAGCACCACTGCCACCTCCCCAGCACCACTGCCACCTCCACAGTGCCCCTGTCACCTCCCCAGCACCACTGCCACCTCCCCAGCACCACTGCCACCTCCCCAGCACCACTGCCACCTCCACAGCACCCCTGTCACCTCCACAGCACCACTGCCACCTCCACAGCACCACTGCCACCTCCACAGTGCCCCTGTCACCTCCACAGCACCCCTGCCACCTCCCCAGCACCACTGCCACCTCCACAGCACCACTGCCACCTCCACAGCACCACTGCCACCTCCACAGCACCCCTGTCACCTCCACAGCACCACTGCCACCTCCACAGTGCCCCTGCCACCTCCCCAGCACCCCTGTCACCTCCACAGCACCCCTGTCACCTCCACAGCACCACTGCCACCTCCACCAGCACCACTGCCACCTCCACAGCACCACCTCCACCTCCCCAGCACCACTGCCACCTCCACAGCACCACTGCCACCTCCACAGCACCCCTGCCACCTCCACAGTGCCCCTGCCACCTCCACAGTGCCCCTGCCACCTCCCCAGCACCCCTGTCACCTCCACAGCACCCCTGTCACCTCCACAGCACCACTGCCACCTCCCCAGCACCACTGCCACCTCCACAGCACCCCTGTCACCTCCCCAGCACCCCTGTCACCTCCCCAGCACCACTGCCACCTCCCCAGCACCACTGCCACCTCCACAGCGCCCCTGCCACCTCCACAGTGCCCCTGTCACCTCCACAGTGCCCCTGCCACCTCCACAGCACCCCTGCCACCTCCACAGCCTCCCCCCATGGATCAGCAGGGGTCCCTGATCCCTGCCAGCCCCACTGACCAGCACCACAGTCACCAGAAGGTTTGTACAGGGAAAGAGTGAAAATCTTTCTTCCACATTTTATACATTTCAGCCTAGAAAAAGGCTGGTGTGGGAGAGACACCTCTGTCTGTATTTAAACAGCTGTATTTGGATGCAGCAAGCCTGTTGGTAGCAGGAAACATCCCATCCACCTGCTTCCTGCTGTTCCAGCCCAGGATCAGCCCCAGGATTTACTCTGGGGTGGGTGCTGCTGGGTGGCCCTGCCCCAGCACACTGAGCACACCCTGGGCATGCCACACTCGTGGTTAGAACACACCCCTGCTCTCACAGACGGCAGGAACACCCAGCCCCGGGAGCTGTCCCGTGTTTCTGCACAGAAGCAAGAAAGAAGCCCAGGCTGCCGTTCCCATCCCCGCTCAGCCAGGGCAGCTCTCCCGGGTGAGGGCAGAGCTTTACACAGCCTGATCTGGGAACCAAACACCTCTGCTCCCACCCTCCAGACCCCTGCACAAGCAGCAATCAGCAGGCATCACCCTGCAAACCCGAGTTTCCAGGGAATGCAGCACAAAACACCTGGAAGCACAGTCCGGAACTCTTGGCTCCCTCCAAGACAACAGGGAACTGTGCAGCCTCCCCACATTTCACTCTCTGACCTCCACCCCCTGAACACTTGTCCCAGAGCTCAGGGGCATTTAACCCCACGGCAAAACAGAGGATTGTTGTCCCCCATTGCCCTGGAGCAGCTTCCTCCTGGCACAGGGATGGAGCCCTGCACAGCTCCAGGGCACTGCCCCGCTGTCCTGCCCTCCTGCTCTGCTGCCAGGGCGGGTCAGGATCACAGGCACAGCACAGTTCTCTCACCCTGCACCTCTACTCCGACCAGTCTAGTTCCCACACTCACCTGCTGGGCATCCCCAGGTGTTGAGCAGCAGTGAGGAGGGGACTGCGAGGCAGGAGCTGTCCCAAAGTGTGTGTTCGAAGTCAACAGCAAGAGCCTCTAAGGCAGATCCCAGTCTGGGGCAATGTCCTTGGTGGTGATTTACAGAGTGCAGGAACTCCTCCCAGGGGGCTACACCAGGGCCATGGGGGTGACAGAATCAGAGTACTCTGAGTTGGAAGGGACCCACAGCATCGAGTCCAAACTGAGCTGGCACAACTCCCTCTCCTTCCAGGTGCTTCACTAAACATCACATATGGAAAAGTGCTGTTACTCCTGCTTGGGACAAGGTCTGAAGTGCACCAGGACTGAGGAGCTGATCATGGACAGGCAGAACTCAGTGCCCTGCTCCTCACCCCACTTCAGTCACTCCTCCTCATCTGCCCCTGCACTGCAGCCCCTCCTCTGCCTGCACCACTCCTGCACCAGGAGCCTCATCCATCCTGGATCCATCCCATCCTCCTGACAGGCCCCTCTCCCTTCTCAGTCAGCCCAGAGCCACAGAAAGTTTCAGGGTCGCTTCTTCCTCACAGAAATTACTCAGTTTAGCCAAAAGCCAGAGCAGTGACTGCTTGTGGGCTTTCAACAGCAAACATTTCCACACTGCTCTCAGAAACCACACTGGGTTGAGTCCTTCATCACTGCTTTTGTTATTTTAGTTATCCCCTCCAGCTCCTCTCCCTCCCTGTTTATCTTCTCTGAAAAGCACCTTCTGGCTTTAAAAGTTTAGTTCTTCTTTTCAAAGACAAAACACCAGCGTGAGAACTTGGAGTACCTTTGCATTCAAGAGAGACTTTTGCCTTACGACTCCTCTTTGAAATAATTCCTTTGTTTGATCATTTATGCCCTTCCTGAAACTTGGATCTCTTGGGCTGGGAGGTAAGGTTATGGTTGATCACTTCTGCTTTGCTCTCTGCTTCTCAGACACTGAAATATCGCACTGTGGGTGAGCACCATCCTGCTGCAGCAAAACAAAGGTGGATTTTGTTTGTAAATTGTCTCTGGAAAGCAAATCGGAAAGTTCTTGGAAAGCAAAACCTCCTGCTTCTTCCTGAACAACAGAACACAGGACCACTTTGATTAGCACCAAAAGGATTTTAAATGAATAGTTCCAGGGAGCTCCTTTCAAATCATAAAATGTCAATTTTACATAAAAGTGTGTTTACAAATAGTTTCTGCTTTACACTCAGCTCTGCCCATTACTGACCAGAAGTTATATACACACAAACTAGCTCAGCAGCTTCAACCACTTGCAAGGGAGGACTGCAGAATTTATTTAAGAAATAAAAATAGGATTTTCCTGGTTCCTAGAAATCCTCTTCGGCCTGCCAGACCCAGTCACCTGCCGGCTCCTGCAGCCTCGGGAGAGCACTAAGCTTTCGGGGAGAAGGGGTACTGTGGGTGCCACCAATCGAGGAGCCTGACGCTGTGCACGGGGTCCAGCACCACCTGCACCCCCTGCTCCAGGCGGGGCTTCTTCCCGTTGCGGATGGGGGTGTCCTGGAACACGAGGCGCACGCGGTGGTGCCGCATGTCGGTGCTCACGTTGATGGTGAACTGCAGGAGAGGAGAGACCAGAGGGGCTTCAGCAAAACCAACAGGAGTTCTGAGCACAGCACTTCTAGGTTTTTGTGACTTCTCCTGGCCCGTGCAAGTCTGAAGTGTTTCAGAGTTTGTCGCAGTCACAGGGACCGGTTTATCACCCTGTGGATAACCAACCCTGTGTGTGCTACACCCTCTGTGCCATTGCTGAGGGACTGCTAACAAAGGGATTGTTTGCAGCAGCTGCCCAGGGCACACCTGACACCTCAGGCTCTCAGAACCCTGCAGGCAGGGCAGCGTTTCTTTGTCCTCACACCAATGGCTCAGCCCTGGGAACTCCCCTCCAGGGAGGCATCAGCACCTTCACCCCCAGCCCGAGGGCTCATCTCTGCTCATGGGCCACCTTGGACTGGCACAAGGGGCAGCTGCAGCCACCCAGAGCATCAAAGGTTCCAAAAACGTCCCAGGGCTCACAGAGTTCAATCCCTCCTCGGCACAATCCCCGCCCTGGGGGAGGCACTGGGCATCCCCACCTCAACCTGAGCACAGACACTCTGCGGGTCTGGGCACTGCTGGGACCACTGGTGGATCCAGAGGAGGACCAGAACTCCAACAGAACTGTGCCCACCATCCTGACCAACAGCTCTCCTTTCCTTTTCCTTTGCCCCCGGGGGGGCCACGTGGAGCTCAGCACTGGGGCCCATGAACACTGCTCTGTTCTTGCCCCAGGGTGCTGGGTTATACATCTGTCTTTGGGGGTTAAAACCAGTTTTCTTCGTATCATTGCACTTACTGCAATCATTTTAGTGAATTGTAACTCTGACTTGGGATCTCTCTCGAGTTGGGTTTGTTTCTCCCACTGCTTTCCTTTTAAACCAGCACAGAGTCACAGTGAGTTTACAGCACTGCCTGGCCACCCAAACAATAATGTTCTGAGTTGTAAGGGTTGTAGAAGGGTTGTAAAACATTGGGACAGGCTGCCCAGGGCAGGGGTGGAGTCGCCATCCCTGGAAGGGATGTGGATGTGGCACCTGGGGACGTGATTAGGGGTGAATGTGGCAGTGCTGGGCAATGGTTGGACTCGATGCACTGGAAGGTCTTTTCCAATCTAAACAATTTTATGAGTCTGTGATTTTAAGAGAATCTGGAAGCAAGTGGCTGTCAGGGGAAGTCTGGAACTCGCTGCCCTACTCCCAAGTGAAGCCAGACTGAACCTCTTCTGGGCACAGGCCATTTCTGAAGCCCTGACTCACCAGCACAGCCCCTTGTGCTGCCCCTTGTTCACCACAGAGCTGCCCCAACACTCCTGCTCTGCTGCTCTCTGGAGCCCAACTTTGGGGGTTTGTTCCAAAGCTGCCCTTCCTCCCATCAAGGACCAAACACACATTGAAAGAGTTTGCTCAGATGGGATTTTCCTCTCAGAATTTATTGCCAATAAGGAGATATTTTCTTGAGGAGGGCAGACCTGCACTTCTCCTGCTCCCTCCCTCTCGTACCTGCTGCAGTTCTGGTAACTAATCACCCCCAAACACTGCACCACAACCACAACTCCTGCAGATTCTCTACATCCTCTGTATTTACTGCACCAAATAGGGAAGAGCTGATGGAAATGGAGAAGTTAAACTGAGACCCTCAGCATTTCCTGTTCATAAGATTCCTAAAAGTGGTTTGCTGACAAAGCAGTGGGATTTGCACAGCCCCAGGGAGGCACTGGGTGGGATTCCTGGGGTTGTCCTGTGCAAGGCCAGGAGCTGGGACTCAAAGCTCCTTGTTGGTCCCTTCCAACCCAGGAGGTTCCATGATTTTAGGTGCCCTCCTTCCAGAAACCTCACCTGCAAAGCCTGCCTGGCAGCTTCTCCCCCACTCACCAAGGTAAACGTCATGCCCATGACGATTGGCACGAAGATGAAGTTGAAGGTGGTGATCTGCAGCAGGCAGCAATCCTGATCCGGGTTCGTGTGCACCTCCTCGTACTGGATGGGGGGCTGGAGACCTTTGCAACACTTGCTCTTCAATCTGGGGGACTTGGAAAGAAAGAGGCCCTGACTGAGCTGAGCAGGTTCTCACCACCTCCCCGTGTGTTTTGGGCAGTGTTCCCAAAACAACCAGAAGCCTTCACTCGGGACAGGCAGGACCATTCCTTTAGAGGGGAAAGCTGCAGAATTCCCAAGGTTGCCTGAGACTACTGGCTTCTCCCAGGACCCATTCCTGGAGGTTTTCCCTTGCTTTATTTCTCTGAGAAATCTTTGCAATGGTAAAACAAGAAGTTTCAGGTTTTTGGTCAACATTTTGATTGCTACAGTCATACAACTGGGTTTGAGTAGCAATCAGACCCAAAGGTGAGATTATTTGGGGTAACAAATGATCCCCGTCAGAAGGGATATCAAAGGAGGAAATAAAAATCTGGGATTCTAAATGTCTTGGTAACACACACAGAAGATTGAGTGTAGTTTCAGACTGTGCTTTAGTTTACCAGGGGAATCAGAATTCCCATTTATTGTCTGAAGGCATAAAAAGTTTTCACCTTCCCTTTTACCACCCAGAAAAATAATTTCTGCTTCAAACAAAAGTCACTGCCAATCTTTCATACCTGCTTTTTGAACTTGAAGTTGAATTCCCACATTGCTTCTTGTCTGTTCCCTACAATCTTTTTGCACCAGAAAAGCAGACACTGAGGTGGAAAAAAAGAAACACACAAAATTATGAAACCCTTAGAGGCACCACTTTAAATAAGTTTTAGCAGAGCATAAAGGCTTCCAATTGCAAACACAATTATATAAGAGCAATTAGGAGCCACTTATTCAAATTAATTATGTTCAAAGAACCCTCTCAGCAGCTTAGGTCTCCCAGTTTCAAGTTGGCCAACTCCTCATGCAACTGGAGAACACAGCACGTAGCCAACTGATGTGCCAAACAGAAAAATCCAGTTGTGCCATTTATCCTTTTCCTAAGGCAGGGGATGAGTGGTGCAGATTCATCCATTCCCTCCACCCACCAGGAACTCCCACCAAACTGGGCTCCAAACGAGATCAAAGCCAGGAACAACCGAAACCAGAGCAAGGAGCAAGAAGGAAAGGATCCAAAGGGAAATGCAAAGCTCAGCACATGAGCTGTGAGGTGACGGATGAGAAAGTTCCTGAGCCACTGTGGTGTCAAACCTTGACATCACCAGGCACTGCCTGTCACTGCTCAGAGCACAGAACCACTGCCAGG